CCTTTACTTGCACTTTTTATCGTTTTTTAACCTTTATCCTTAAACTCTTCTCAACCCCTTTCTATTTTCTTTTTACTTGCACTTTCATCAAGTTTTCGCCTGCATCTCGCTTCTACTCTTACCCTTTTTCACTTAGGTTTAATAAACTTACAAACTAACTTAGCATATGTCCTAGGATCAATCTGATCGATCCTGCAAGTCACCAAAATAACCCATTTTGGAAGATCAGCGGTTGTTTACCAATTTCCATGGTAAACAACAATACAATCCAATCGAATCGAAATAATTAAATAAATACTTAAATTGAACCATATTATTTAATAAAATTAATTAACAAAATAATTAATTATATTAAATATTATTTTCCAATCTAATTAATTATTTAAAATAAAAACATTTTTAGTATTTTAATTTTTTGATAGAAATAAAGAATTAAACAAAACAATACAAAAAATAAAATTATAAAAAAATAGTAAACGAGATTGAAGTGAAGCAATCTAAGGGGTGTAGGAAGTAGAGGTGTCCAAGGCACAATAAGCTTCAATGCTCAATCTAGCGTGGGAGGCCCTGGAGGGTGTAGTGTAGGCGTGCGGATACAGAGCGCCTGATGTTGATGAGGAAGATCTGATGATGATCTGATGGTGATGAGGTGTGAGATGCACTGTAAGGTTGATGAGCAGGCGCGCTGGGGGTCTGATCGATACTTCGGGAGAAGTGCACCGTGGGGATGCAAATCTGAGACGCTTGATGATGATCAAGTGATGTTGAGTGAGGGCGTATAGTGTGAACGATGGGATTCCTGCTCAGAATTCCCAAACACTGGCCACAAGGGCGGTGACAAGTGTCACCGCCAAATTAGTTGTTTTAATCATCTTAATTAAATAAAACAGAGTATTAACAGAAAATTAAACAAAAGAGATTATACAGTCTCTTCCTCAACCCTTTGGTTCTCTCGTTTTCTCTCAATGGAGCTTCACGGAGACGAAGATGCTGCCACACCAGAAATAGCCTTTACGGCATTGACGATGGCGGCGACCTCATATTTTGCTCTGATCCTTCTTCTTCTTACATCAATCTCTTCGTATTCTTCTTTTAAGCACTAATCCACGGTTCAATTTTGCAGATGCTTTGCGTGTAGATCTCAAAAAGGGTTATGAAACCCTAGCGGCTCAAATTTGCGATTTCTGGCTTAAACTGAGAGATGATAAAGGATCTGAGCTCTGGAATGTTGAAACAACCTCTCTGAAGCCAGATCTGAGGTTTTAACGGCAACGAATCTCCTGGTAATATCTTTCTGATTCATTACGAAAACTTCTTTTCCTCTTTTCTCTCTCAAGCTTATGAAGGGTTTAGTTAAGAAGATGATGAACGAAATAGGGTTAGCTTTGACTAAAGTTTGCTATGATTTTTTTATTTGTGAACAAATTTGATGGAAAATGAACAAAAATTAGGGTTTGTGGTTGTGAAACTGAGATACAAAATCTTTATTTCTCTTCCTCTTCTCCTACGGTTTCTAAAGGTTTTTTGTGTATGGGAAGATGATGAAAACTTTTTAGGGTTTCTCTTTGAGCTACGCAACTTTTATGGTTTTGTGAACAGTAGTCTCCCCCCGATTTCAGTGCATTCAATGCCTTTATAGTGAGATGGATTATGGTTGTTGTTGTGTTGCTCTGAACTTTGATAACAGGTCTGGAATGAATTTGTATTGGGCTTGAGCATTTTTAGATATGTTCTATTATGATATGTGAACTTATTTCTGATATGTTGTTGTCTGTGAAAACTAGAAACTGAACGTGTTGGGCTTGTAAAATGCGATTATGACTTGTTATTTTGAGTGTTATTTTTTATATCTGTTATGCCCCTTTTTTATATCTGATTATTGTAACTGGGTTGGTCTTTTACTGAGTTTGCACTTTTGATTTGTGATACTTCTTTTTGGGCTTGACAGTTATTCTGACTTGCTGCTTTGGGCTGGAATTGTGATATCCTTGTGTTTTGTTACTGACTGAATTGTTTTTGTCTTCACTGTGAACCAAAAATTTGTCTTTTTGTGATTTGTAGTAAAGATTATGGGCCTGTGATTGAAACTTGAGATTTTGATTTGTATGAGATCAACATGTTTTTGAGGCTTATGTTATCGAGCTTTATAATTTCTGCCTTGTTATGATTCAGAAATGTCAACTTTTACTATGATAATTTGTTTGCTTATTAGGCTCTGAACATGACTTCTGACTTGCTGCTTTACTACATGGATCCACGATGCTATGTAACTGTGATGAAATTCTAAGTTTCTTTGTCTTTTTACACCTCCATTTGTGAACCAAAACTAAACTTTTGTGATTTGCAATAGGAGAATAGGCCCATGATTATGTACTGAAATTCTGATTATTACTTGAGAAATAATGTATAAGGCCTTCTTGTTGGATTTATGAACATGATTTAATTCAAATTCCCTAATTCTGATTCCTTGTTCTAAACCCTTATGATGAATTTTGTAAAAACTCTCTTTGAAAGATTTCTTTGCTTGTGCTCAAGTTTAATTGTTTTAATTGCTTGCTAACATTTATTTTTCTTATTTCACGAGTTGTTGGCTCGGATAAGCTTGGAAAGATGATGAAGGAAGATTTTAAATATGAAGTTGAGGCAATGGTTATAGCGAGCTTGAAGATTAAATGAGAATGAGTCTTGGAGGAAACTTGGAGAAATGAAGATGACGACCTCATTAACGATCTTAGGACTTTGATTAGGATCCATTTGAGTTTTATATTGTAAAGACTTACATTGTAAAAACTTGGAAATTGAATGCATATATCAATACTTTAGAGAAAGTATGTAAGAGTCTTTTTTGTAAAAATCTTGTAAACCTGCAAACTAACAAATTCAAAAATGGAATTTGTAATATAAACCTTTTGCCAAAGTGTTTGTAAAACAACTTGAATCTTGAATGAAAAATTTGAATGAGTTTGGCAATACTTGAATCTTTGAGCTTAACATTTTCAATTGTCATTTTAACTTGAATTCTTGAACAAAAGTGAGCTCGTTCTTTGCACTAAGTCAAAACCTCCCTTACCTACAAATTAACAAGTTTCCAAAAGACTTGATGGCCATATTGCAAGCAAAACAATTTTTTTCTCTTAAGTTCTAAGGAAAAAAACTTTGAATGAAAATCCAAGGAAAGATGTAGTAGTGAAGTGTAAAGAATTAAATGAAGTTGCACTTGGATGTCTTGTGTGAAAACAATATAAAAATTGAATTCTAAAAGCCCAAAGATCTTTACTTAAATTTGCATCATAATTTCACTACTTGAACTCAACAAATTAAATCAACAAGTAACCAACCATTTCTTGATCTTAGAAATCGGATAAAATCCCTTCTAATAAAAATAAATAAAAAAGCATCTTCTCCTTAAGAATGATATCTTGCCTTGGAAGAAACTTTGAAATGGATAAAAATGGAATCAGAGAATGGATATTCTAATGATCCTCAGTTGATGATTGAAAGCATACTGAGACAATACCCACGATGATTATGCTTCAAGAATTTTGTCAAGAAAGACGTTACAGATTCAATTCAAAACCATGGTGCAAAAGCCAAAAGATGGCATATCTTGAGACTTGAGAAACCTTGGGAATTTGAATGATCAAAAGAAAGAGGATGCAAGAACCTCCTTGGATTGATTGTCAACCCAACCATTTTCCACCACTTGAAAAAAACCATGGAGACAATAATACCTTGATCCCATTTAAAATGCATGAATATGTATGATGAAACATAATCCATAATCAATAGGGTAAATTTTGGGGTGCAACAATATTCTTTTGTTTTTATTCCTTTTTATTTGTTCATATAAATCTAACAGAACCTTTTTAAATTAAAACAAACATAATCTCAAACTTAAATCAAATTAATTCAAAATAGTTAATTGTTGTACCCCAAATTTTGCCCTCTCATTTTTCATTCAAGATGATATCCTAGGGTTTCTCAAATACTCAAAATGGCCTAGGGTTTTATCAGACAAATTCTCTTCCTAGACATTGAGTCAGCAACTATGGTTTGGTATTTCTCAAGAAAAATTGAGTTTTTGAGGTTTCAAATGGTCTTCATAGTTCTTCATGTATCTTGAAGGATATTCGTGCCAGTTTTCAAACTTTGCATCGCATGTTTGCTCAGTCAATGGTTCAGATGACAGAAAATCAATTGCAGTGACCCAAAAATCGACCTTTGCAAGATCAAGTTCAAACGGTTGTAACTTCTTCATTATTCGATCAGTTCTTTTTGTGTATGACTCTCCTTAACGTCATCTCCAATTTCTCTTCACAAGTCAAGAGCTGATTACGTGCGAAAGATCATCAGAAAAATTTGAATACTTTAGAGGCCATTTTGCAAATTTTACCTAATCACAAGAAATTCTTGTCCAATTTTCGAGGCTCGTAACTTCTTCAATTTTCAATGTTTTGAAGCGATTCTTTTTGCGAAGTATCACAAATAGCATTTTCTATGAGATTGCTTCAACGATCGAAGTCAAAATGCACTTGGAAGACCATGAAATTTATTGAAACTTTATAGGAATTTCTTGACTGTAGAATGTTATTAACTTCTAGATGTTGATCATTATGTTGAGGTAATTCATTGGAACAAGTGTTTGAGTTTGAAGGTTCATGGATAGTTTTTTATTTATACTTCAAATCGTTTGCGTTTGAGCGGTAATCATTATTGGATCGAAGTGGGATTTTGATCAAAATTCTTAAAGGCAAGATTCGTAGTATTGGCTCATATTTCAAGTTACTATAAATTGAAGATATGGATTTTAATGAAGAAGATTCGAGGATCCATTCAAATAATTCTTTTGACTTCGGCCCAATTCAAGCATGTGAGGCATAATTCATTCACATGAATTCATCAAGATATTCAAGAGGATCAACATGTATATGGCGCAATTTTGATATATTTGAAAAAATTCATTCATGTGAACTATTTCGAATTCAATGCAAGGCATTCATCGACTTCATCCATCTTCATTCAAATTTCCAATCTTTCTCTCAAATCAATTACAAGTGCAACATCAAATTCCAATTCCAAATTCAAGACATCCATTTCAAGTTTTCAAGAATTCAAGATTTACAACAAGGCATCATTGTTATTTAAAAATGAATTTGAATATATTTTACAAATCTCCAAGTCTTAAAATTCAAATCACAAATGAAAACTGCAATGTTACAAAAAAAGTCGCAATAATACAAAAATTCCTAAAGAATGTAATTTTCTTCATCTTCAAGTCTTCACCAAGCACTTCAGGCCGCTCTTCATCAATTTTCTCCATCGTCCAATTTGCTCGTACATGTAAACAAAAAGAGAGAATTAGTTAGCAAAATTCATGTTGGAACAAGAATAGAAATTTCAAAGAATTCTCTACATTTTCATCATTAGGGATTGGTAAGAAGAATCAGAAATAAAGGGGTAGCGTTTCGTCTGTGTTTCGTCCATTGCAAATCACAATCTTTAATTGGTTCACAGAGGACAAAATGAGAAGAAATAAAAGTCAGAATTCATCATAGTCCCAAATGTTGCACAAAAAAAAACAGTTTGCATCACAGTAAAAGAGGACAAATACAAGAGGCCAAAATGCTGTCAAAAACATATTGCATTGCAGCCCTGCATTGCTGTCCAAATCTGTACCAAAAATCTGTCAAAAGTAACTGCTTATACAGCCAAAAATTGCACACAAATAGGCCAAGTCAAAACTGCAACAAAAAGGAGCAAAGCAGCATAACAAATCTGTTCAAAATCCAGATAGCGTAGAATTTTAATTTCCGCAATTTACTGTTTTTCTTTATACTGTATAGTAATTAGGCGTGTATGATAAGACATAAAAACAACCGCTAGACAACCTTAATCAAAGACAAATTAAATTGAATCAAACACACTTTTCACACGCGCACCTCTAGGATAATCTCGCTTGTTGCCTCGGAAAAGCAGTCATGTCCCTCGAATATGGGACACTTTAGCAAAGACCCTTCGATAAAGAGATCGTAGTTCCTCGATGTTGTCTTCGATAAAACGATCTAGTCCCTTACAAAAATTGCTAAAGCGTCTTACAAGTTATCTTCTATGACTGTACGATTGACCCACGTCTGCCCTTTCACATCCGAAGATAGGGTTTCTTACCAATCAATGGTAAGATAGCAACATATAAAGGAGGAGGAAAAGAACAATGACTTTTTGAGTAAGTAAGACGCTCGTAGTTGCCTACTCACAAACTAAAACCATTTCTACACTTGCACTTTCAAAACATCTTCAAAAAGGAACATCTCTTTGAACTATTTTTCAAAACCAACACTTTGTATACATTCTTATAGAGACGAGAATTATTACAAAATTTGCCACAACAAAGACGTTTTCAAAATATTTTCAAACTTACACCATGTAACACTCCTTCTAATAAACCCCGAATTAAACGATATAAATAAAATCAGAGAAAATAAAATTTGCACGGAAGGAGTGTCACAACATCAATTCACATATTCAAGAAAAACGGACATGACATATTCGTCACTTTAATCATTTAATCACATAATACAATCATGACATATACTTTCTTTTTTGTGCAAACGCAACGGAATCATAATAATATTATCTTCTCCAAAGGAGGAATCAAAATATAATATGCAAGGCATTAAGCCATATGGTTCATACACCAATCATGTTATCAAGTCATAATATACATACATCATCATATAATCAAAACAATGGATTATATACAAGTATAATCCATATACAAAAATATGAGTTCGAATGCGGACACTAAACCCCCAGTGTTACAATCAGAGCATCGACTCAAATCAAAAAGTAACGGACTACAAGCCTAAGTCGTCCGTTAACCCGTGCGCCTCGCACTATCGTCTTTGGTACCTTGGCGATACCATATCAAGCATCATTTCAACAGAAGGGTAAGAATTCCAATAATCATGAAATATATAATTTAAAGCAATGGAAAACAATAAATAAAAGGAATTCTCCATACTTGAATATATGTGTGTATCACTAATATAAGCACATTCATATATTCCATATTCCGCTATATTCAAGAATTATCTCTTTAACCATTTATCATCCTAATCATAAAATCACACTCACTCACATATCATAACCAATTTCACAAACTCGATCATCTTCACATAAACTCATAATATATATCATTATGCATGTGACTCACAACTCGATGCAACCAATGCAAATGCGGTACCGACTTGTGGACCCAAAGTTCCACCGCTTATTTTTCCACATAGGATCAAAGCCACTACGTCTATTTCCACTCTAGGATCAACGTCTATTTTTGTGAACCCAAGTTTCACCGCCTATGTTCTCTTTCCGGTTCAAAGCCACTACGTCTATTTCCATTCAAGGATCAACGTCTATAAAATGTGAACCCATCATTTCACCGTCTCTATTTCAAGACCAACCATGCCATGCAATGTACCATCAACAACTCGTATGCAATTAAGACCACTTCCGACCTCAACATACACATACCACATATTTCAACACAATGAAATACCAACAATTGTACATGCATTGCAAATATAATTCACAAATCAAGTAACATACAAGTTTAAACAATGTTACTTCCATAATTTATTTAAATCAAACACAATTCCGGTTAGTCCTTGAAAACGTCGAAATCTCGACAAAATAACACAACCACAATTATCTACTCGTCAAACTTAGTTACAATGTCCATTTTCATTAAATTCCGGATAACTAATTTTTACCGCCTATACCGGCAAATTAGACCGAACGGAACCCATTCCACTTATTTCTAACTTAAACAATTCCTCGCCGATTCATAGTTATAGACTCAATCGTTAATTATTTATTAATCGATTAATACTACTCCGGTATTAACCCTTTCCATTTCAGTTTCACAGAACAATCTAAAAGAACACACCATCATCTATCTTAAAATCCTAAAATAATTCCTATTCCAAAACTAAAAATCACATACAACATAATTAGGGGAAGTCAAACCCTTACTGATTAGTCTCCGAAACGAGCTTTTCGGTTTGGTTCCAGAAATTTTTTCCCTCTTCTCTTCAACCTTAAGTTTCCACTTCTCTTCTCCTCTTGCTACTTCTCTTTCTTTCTGTTTCTAACTTACTGCTACTTTTCTAACTTAACATAACATATATACTAACTTTTATATATATATATATATATATATATATATATATATATATATATATATATATATATATATATATATATATATATATATATATATATATATAATAAAACTTATATACTTACCGTAATTAACGTAACATACATATAATAAAAACTAATATTTTATTAAATTAATTTAATATAATTAAATAATATTAACTTATTAATTTATAATAAATCAATTAATAGTAATATAAATTCATTCTCACAAATAAATCAAATAATACATATAATAAAATATTTACACACTAAATATAATATTATCGTACGAAAATAATTATTTTCCGGTAAAACAAATAAATCCAACTAATCACATACCGGACCGAATTATCGATTAAATAATTAATAATTTATCAAAATAAATATCAACCGGTCGTTTTTAGAAAATAATAATATAAATAATATTAATTAAAACGGGGTGTTACAACTCTCCTCCACTTATAAAATTTTCGGCCTCAAAAATTACCTCTAAACGAACAATTCGGGATAGGAATCCCGCATCCGGCCTTCAAGTTCCCAAGTTATGTTTCCATTAGCCGAACCACCCCACACCACCTTTACCAACACGATTTATTTTCCTCTAAGTTGTTTCACCTTCCGATCTTCGATCTTTGTCGGCAAAGTCTCAACGGTTAAGTCTTCTCTAACCTCCACATCATCTGCTTGCACTACATGAGACGGATCTGCAATATACTTTCGCAATTGGGACACATGAAACACATCATGTAGATTTGAAAGTGATGGTGGTAATGAAATCCTATAAGTCATATTACCAATCCTTTCAGAAATTTGATACAGACCAATAAACCGAGGTGTCAACTTCCGCGACTTAAGTGCCCGACCAACACCCGTCGTAGGATTCACTCTCAAAAACACATGATCATCCTTCTTGAACTCAAGAGGCTTCCTCCTCTTATCATGGTAGCTCTTTTGGAGACTTTGAGAAATCTTCATCTTCTCTCTAATCAACTTAATCTTATCAGTAGTTTGTTGCACAATTTTCGATCCAACCACCGCACTTTCTCTCGACTCGTACCAACATAAAGGTGTTCGACAACGCCTTCAATACAATGCCTCAAAAGGAGCCATACCTATACTAGAATGAAAACTATTGTTATAGGAAAACTCCATCAATGGCAAGTAACTTTCCCATGAACCTCCTTGTTCCAACACACAAGCACGCAAAAGATCTTCGAGCGATTGAATCGTCCTTTCCGTTTGACCATCCGTCTGTGGATGATAAGCGGAACTCAAACGCAATTTAGTACCCAAAACTCTTTGCAAACCTTCCCAAAATCTAGAAGTAAATCTAGGATCTCTATCCAAAACAATACACGTCGGAATACCATGCAAACACACAATCCTTTCCACATACAACTTCGCAAGTCTCTCCATTGAGTAATCCATTCTAATTGGAATAAAATGAGCAGACTTCGTCAATCTATCTACTATAACCCAAATAGCCTCATAGTTACTCGAAGTCCTTGGTAAACCTGAAACAAAATCCATAGAGATATTGTCCCACTTCCATTCCGGAATAGACAAAGGTTGCAACAATCCGGATGGCTTCTGATGCTCTACCTTGGACTTTTGACAAACCAAACATGAATACACAAATTCCGCTATCTCCTTTTTCATACACGGCCACCAAAACAACTTTCTCAAATCTTGATACATCTTTGTGGCACCAGGATGAATGCTCATTCCACTTCGGTGTCCTTCCTCAAGGATCCTCTTTTTCACATTACCAACATTAGGAACACAAACTCGATCACGACATCTCAGAACGCCGTTCTCATCAATTCTAAGCTCTCCACCTTGACTTTGGTTAACTAAAGTCAACTGTCAACCAAAACCAAGTCTGATTTCTGTCCTTCTCTTATCTCATCCAAGATCCCACTTGTCAGCTTCAACATACCAAGCTTCACACCAAAATAAGTTTCTTCACAAACCAAACTCAAGTCTCGAAACTGTTCAAGCAATTCCCATTCTCTCACCATTAACATAGACATATGTAATAATTTCCTACTCAACGCGTCGGTAACCACGTTCGCCTTTCCAGGATGGTAATTCAAGCTAAAATCATAATCCTTCAAGAACTCCAACCACCTTCTTTGTCTCATATTCAACTCTTTCTGATCAAGCAAATATTTCAAGCTTTTATGATCACTGAAAACATCGAATCTCGATCCAAATAAGTAATGTCTCCAAATCTTCAACACAAAAACCACAGCTGCCAACTCCAAGTCATGAGTCGGATAATTCCTCTCATGCACTTTAAGTTGCCTCGAAGCATAAGCCACCACTTGCCCATTTTGCATTAACACGCCACCTAACCCCATCAATGAAGCATCACAATACACTGTAAACGGTTCGGATGGATTAGGTAAAACCAACACAGGAGCAGTAGTCAACCTTCGCTTAAGTTCTTGAAAGCTATCCTCACACTGTGTAGTCCACACAAACGCTTGCCCCTTTCTCGTCAATTGTGTCAATGGTAAAGCCAACTTCGAAAAATCCTCAATGAACTTACGATAGTATCCGGCTAAACCAAGGAAACTTCGTATCTCAAACAGACTTAGGAGATTCCCATTCTGACACAGCTTCAATCTTAGATGGATCCACGGCAATACCTCCACGAGATATTACATGACCAAGAAAACTCACTTGCTCCAACCAGAACTCACACTTAGAAAGTTTAGCAAACAACTGATTCTCTTTCAGAATCGACAACACAATTCCTAAGTGCTCGGCATGCTCCGCTTCATTCTTCGAATAGATAAGAATGTCATCAATAAAGACCACCACAAACTTATCAAGGAACTCATGAAAGATTCTGTTCATATACTCCATAAACACACCAGGTGCATTCGTAACACCGAAAGGCATCACCGAATACTCATAGTGTCCATACCTCGTCCTAAATGTCGTCTTCTGAATATCACTAGCCTTCACACGGATTTGATGATAACCAGATCTCAAGTCTATCTTACTGAATACACAAGCACCGACCAACTGGTCCATCAAGTCATCAATTCTAGGTAACAGATACTTGTTCTTGATAGTAACCTTGTTCAACTGCCTATAGTCCACACACAACCTCATCGTACCTTCTTTCTTCTTTACTAACAACACCGGTGCACCCCATGGAGATACACTCGGACGAATGAACTTCTTATCAAGTAACTCTTTAAGTTGGCTTTTTAGTTCTCCCAATTCCGATGGCGACATCTGATACGGAGCCATCGAAACAGGACTAGTACCAGGAACTAGATCAATAGCAAACTCTACTTCACGTTCTGGAGGTAAATCCGTAATCTCCTCCGGAAATACCTCTGGAAAATCACAAACAACAGGAACATCCTTTCTCACTCCCCTTTCACCAAGATTCATGCTCGCCATCAACACAAACAATTCAGCTCCATCTCTAACACACCTCTTCATTTGTTGAGTAGACAAGAATGAACCTCCTTCTTTCTCGGACTCGAGAAAAAGAACCGCTTTAGCAAAACAGTTGATATAGACATGGTTGGCTCTCAACCAGTCCATACCCAGAATGACATCAAGCTGACTCAACGGAAGACATATAAGATCCACCTCAAAATCTCTACCACACATACACAAAGGACACTTTAAACATATAGCTGAAGTAGAAACTGAACCCATCGCAGACGTATCTACCACCATACTCCTACTCATATCAGATAACACAAGGCCCAATCTCGTAACATAATTCAATGAAATAAAAGAATGAGTCGCACCCGTATCAACAATAGCAATCAAAGGCACGTTATGAATAGAGCACGTACCACTGATCAATCTCTCATCCGATGAGGTCTCGGCACCAGACAATGTGAACACCTTTTCGGTTTCCTTCTTTGGCTTTGTGCATTTGGTACTAATGTGACCTCGCTCACCACAGTTGTAGCAAGTCACAACAGAACCAACCTGACAATCCATAGCTTTGTGACCTACTTTGTCACACTTAAAACACTTCAAAATTCCTTGGCGACATTCTAGAGCACGATGTCCCTCTTTCCCACATTTGAAACATTTAATCGGAGTAGTCACTCCCCCACTCGGATTCTTTCCTCCACCTATTGGTTGTTTTCCCTTTCCCTCATAAGGCTTGGGACGCATCTGCCCCTTACCTTTCCTCTCATGCAAGTTCTTATAATAAGCACTACATTCTCGACTATCCTCATCATAGATACGACTCTTGTTCTCCTCTTACTACTTCTCTTTCTTTCTATTTCTAACTTACTGCTACTTTTCTAACTTAACATAACATATATACTAACTAATATATATATATATATATATATATATATATATATATATATATATATATATATATATATATATATATATATATATATATATATATATATATATATATATATATATATATATATATATATATATATATATATATATATATATATATATATATATATAACGTATATAATTAATAAAACTTATATAATTACCGTAACTTAACGTAACATATATATAATAAAAACTAATATTTTATTAAACTAATTTAATATAATTAAATAACATTAATTTATTAATTTATAATAAATCAATTAATACTAATATAAATCCATTCTCACAAATAAATCAAATAATACATATAATAAAATATTTACATACTAAATATAATATTATCGTACAAAAATAATTATTTTCCGATAAAACAAATAAACCCAACTAATCACATATCGAATCGAATTACCGACTAAATAATTAATAATTTACCAAAATAAATATCAACCGGTCATTTTTAGAAAATAATAATATAAATAATATTAATTAAAATGGGGTGTTACACACCACAAAACACATTTTCAAACAAAGCAACTTTCAAATGATCTAGAAATCAACTAAGAGCCCGTAGAAAACTACGGATGAAAAGAGTGTTAACACCTTCCCTTTATATAACCTACCCCGAATTCAAGAAAATATCTCAAAGGTCTTTCCTGTTCTTTTCACTATTTCCTTATTGGATAAAAGAAAAGTCGGTGACGACTCTTGCTATCCGCAACAATTGCGATAAAATGCAAAACACCCAAGTCAGTTCTCCCACCGTATTACACTAATCAATCAAATACTAACCTTTTTTTACTAACTTATTTCAAATTCAATATATTTTCGAAAAGGATTATGGAGATCTTTTAAATTAATTGCGAACTGCGTTTACGATTCCGCTATTTTCAACCCAAATTTGGTTCAAGGATTAATTCAAAATATTTTCAGAATCCATAAAAAATATAACCAAACAGTACGAACTACGTAGGCACACGACTTAAAAACTAAGGTGAGTTCCCCTAGAAATTCCTTAAGAACAAGGTAGATTAGGGTGCCTAACATCTTCCCTTTATTTAAAGTGAATAAAGAATTTAGAAGCTCTCTATAATTAGGGTTATTTCATTATTCACTCGTCATTAAGACAAAAAATAATGGTAGAGACTCATTATTTTTTGCCGATTACGACAACTATTTGTCACTTATTTAGTTGTGCCAATTTACCAAAAGTATTATGATAAAAAAAGGCTACTCATAAAATAAAACAACAACTATGACTTAAACAATTACTATTGTGAGTGTGACTATAAAATTCTTTCTAAATTAAACATGTGATCCTAAAATACTAAAATTAAACATATTAAAATAAAAACTAATTAGTAATTACAGTATGTATGTGATACTGTATGTGAATTATTTCATAGTTTCATTCTTTCATAATGAAAACTAACATATAAATTCTTTCACTCTTTCTAACATATATTTATGTGATACCTTAAAAAGAGTTGTATCAAAAATTGGAAGTTAGAAAAAGAGATATAGCATAAACAACAACAAATCAGTGACATCAACAACAAATCAGAGACATCAACAACAAATCAGAGACATCAACAACAAAATCTCATAAAACAACAACAACAAATTTCAATAATTTCATCTTCAACAAACCCTAATTTTTACCATATATCAAATCATAATCAAAAAGTAAAGAACATACGGTGGTGCGGCGGAATGCTAGACGGAGGCAGGTTTCTGTTCACGAAATGGCCGGCGGTGGTCTTCGTCTTCGCTTCTCAAGTTCTCAACTTCTGCTTCTTTTTTCTGTTCTGCGTATTTTGGAGTTATGAGGAACAAACCTTTTTCATTTTATTTTACTTTATTTAAATTGAAAAAACTCAAAACGACGTTGTTTTAAGTAAAAAAATATTCAAAAAAAAAGAACGCTTCTGAACTGCCGGTTTGCAGAAGCCACTGCCCACTGGTCTTCCGATTTTCCTGTTTTTCCTTTGGTTCGACGACAAAAGCGATCGAGTAATCAGACCAGACCGGTTATTGGTTCGATTTCCGGTTCAACCGGTCCGACCGGATGGTCGGATCCAGTTTTTACAACTATGCTTTTCACCAAATCTTCTTTCGATTAAAAACTATAGTATAAGTAAAAAAAATCATATCAGATCATAATACCATATTTTGAATAATCTACACATTATTCCAAACATAATTCCCGACATAAACCAGTACCCGAACTGAGAATTAGAAGCCAACAACCAAAAGATAACAAACTCGATGTGAAAAGAAATATAACAGCAATTCAAATGAACTTATTGGTGATTCCAACAATGTCTTGATTCTTCAACATGGAAGGATGATCGAGACCAGGCAAACTCATGGTGACAACTTGAGGATTGAGAGCCTACGCAGCAACACCCAAAGCAACATCTCCTCCAACCGCTGCATTTTGACCTCCACCGAACTTGGAACGAGACTTAACCCAACAGCTACGACACCAACAATAACAACAACAGATGTAGTAAGACAGTGGCAGTGATAGCTTGTCAACATTGTAAAACAAATAGTATTTATTAAGATATATATTAACTCCGTAGATTTATAGAATCTAAAGAACATTTTGGAGAAAAAATCAGTTTCAAAACTATATATTAACTTGTACGGTAGGTCAAACAAAAGGTATTGCAAATGTATTATTCATTTTCTAAATCTTTTAATCCTTTTGGTTGTATCCTCTTTTGAAGAAATTTTAGAAATAAATATCGTTTCCTGATTAACTATCCCTTCCGCTAAATGTTCGCTTTCCAAAGTTAAATAAATCCTGATATTAGATATGGCATCACCCGCTGAAGTAATAACTTCGGAAGAAGTTACATCTCAAAATCCAACCCAACTCCATAGTAGTAGGGGAAAAACTGATATAGCTTAGGTCATTGTAAACAAATTGAAGAGAAAGAAAAACTTGTTAATTTGTGTATTTACTGTGATAAATAGGGGGATTAATATGTTCAAAATCCATTTGGCTGGAATAAAAGGTCAAGTTGAAACATGTAAAAAGGTGCCTCCAGATGATCAATATCAAATGAAACAAAATCTTGATGAAGGTGCAAATAAGAGAAGAAAGACTCAAGTACAAAATTTTGATGTTGATCTTACTACTCAAGAGGGTGGTGTAGTAGAAATAGATGTAGAACAATCAAGATCAAATTCAGTGATTGTGTCTTAAAAGAGAAAGAATACTAGTCGTATTGGTAATTATTGTATGCCTAGAACAACTCCTGGAGCTCAACCTTCTTTAAAAAGTGTGTTACAAAGTAAGGAATTGGTGGAGAAGTGTGATCTAGCTATTGCAAGATGGCTCATTGATTCTTCTGTGCCATTCAATACAGCTAATTCTGTGTATTTTCAATCTATGGCTGATGCACTTTGCAGCATGAGTCCGGGGTATAAAGTTCCAACTATGCATAGTCTTTGTGGCTATTTATTAAATAAATGGGTTGAAGATGTGAACAAATTGATAGAGGAGTATCGTGAGATTTGGAAGAAAACTGGTTGTACTCTAATGGCCGATGGATGGACTGATCGAAAAAGAAGAACTCTTATAAACTTTCTAGTTTATCGTCCCAAAGGTACTATTTTTCTAAAATCTGTTGATGCTTCTCATGCTTCAAAAACTGCAGATATGTTGTATAAGCTTTTTAGAGAGGTGATTTTATTTGTTGGGCCTGAAAATGTAGTTCACATAGTGACAGATAATGCTGCAAATTATGTTGCTGCTGGAAGGTTATTAGAAAATGAGTTTCCTACTTTATTTTGGTCTCCTTGTGCGGCACATTGCATTAACTTGATGTTGCAAGACATGGGAAAATTAGAGGAAGTAAGTGAGACAGTGTCACATGCTTCTAATGTTACCAAATATATTTATAACCATTGTTATGCATTGTATTTAATGAGAAAGCAAACAGGTGGAAGAGAAATCCTTCGTCCTGCTCCAACTCGGTTTGCCACTAATTTCATTGCTTTGCAAGGTATTTTGTCTCACAAAAACTCACTAAGAGCCATGGTAACATCTAAAGAATGGACAAGCTCAGCATATGCCAAAGAAGCAAAGGCAAAACAATTTGTGGATCAAGTTTTAGATTCTGGATTTTGGAGTAAATGTGCTGATGTAGTTAAACTCACTGAACCACTTGTGCGTGTATTGCGTATTGTTGATAGTGAAGATAAACCTGCTATGGGCATTCTATACAAATCTATAGTCAAAGCTATAGAGGAGATGGTGAGGAGGTTTCAAAGAAATAAGAAGAAAGTGAATCCTTACTTGAAAATCTTAGATAAACGTTGGGATTCACAGCTCCGCAAAAATCTTTATGCTGTCGGTTATTGGTTGAATCTAACTTGTAGATATAATGATGTAGAATTTGAAAAACATACATCCACAACATCATGACTTTTAGATATCATTTAAAAGCATGCTAATAGAAATTCTGAACTTCGATTGAAGTTAACAGATGAGATGAGAATATTCAAAGACGGTAAATTAGATTTTGGAAGGAAATCAGTCGTGGATGAACGATGTATTGTGAGGGCAGGTAATTTCATAACTTCTAACTCTTGATATATATTTTATTTTATATTTCAATATGTTTATAAATTCATTTAATCACGTGGTATAAATAGATCAATAGTGGGAAACTTATGACACTTGTACACCAACTTTGCAAAGGTTAGCTATTCGTATTTTAAGCCAAACTTGTAGTGTTTCGGGTTGTGAACGCAATTGGAGTATATTTGAGCATATTCATTCCAAAAAAAGAAATAGATTGGAGCACCAAAAACTTAATGATTTAGTGTTTGTTCGTTACAACTTGAGACTTCAAAATAGGTATTTGTTGGCTCCTAAATTCGACACCTTTGTTTCAATTGATGACAGCCATTAAAAGCTGAAAGATGCTTTCGACTGGCTAAGCTTGTCGAAGTGACCGTCGAAAGATGGCCAAATACTTAGAAGATTTCTTCCAAGGAAGGAGGCTGATTGCCTTCGACGTCGAAGGAGTTTTCGTCGAAGACGTCTCTTGACGAACGTGTTCGATGGTCCAGAGTGGAGCAGTTTGAAATTCAAAGCTTTGGAGGGAAAACGGTTTCCAGCAGTTACTACGTGCGAACGTGCAAGGATCTGGAGCGTCGAGCATGGAGAACGTGACAAGTGGCTGGATCTCGAAGCAGTGTAACTGCCCGACGGTTACTTGGAATGTTTTTGTATAAATAGGAGTAGACGTGTAGTTTCTCGCGTGTGTTCACAATAGATACATAGTCACTCATTTAGATTCAAGTACCCAGTGTGAGCGAACGAATTGTTGAGAAATGTATGTGTGAAACACCAATTTAATCAATTCAAGTCATTTACTTTTTCAGTATTTTACATGCTTTTCCCTTTAAGATTCCTGTCGAACCTTTACATTCCAGCCTTGTTTATTTTACCAAGCCTTTTCCTTTATGCAATTTACTTTAACCAATTTACTTAAAGCCTTATCCACACTAATTAAACTTCAAAATCAACCTATGTCCATAGGATCAATCTGATCGATCCTGCGAGTAACCAAATAAGTAACCATTTGGAGGATCAGCGGTTGTTTACCAAATCCCCAGGTAAACAAATTGGCACACCTGGTGGGACTGTGTGTTGATTGTTGAAAAATCTCATCTTTTCGAGTTGTATGTTATTGAGGAGTGGTAGAATATACACCAACCATAATAATACTGCCGGGAGAAGGGAAGAAATGGCGAATCCGCCAAACAACAATGAAATCCCACAAGCAAGTGTGGGAGCAACGGTTAATATGACCGTTAGCGAAGCGACGAATGCTGGTTCGATACCAGCGGTGTCAGTCACAACCACGGGGCCAACGACTTCGTTTGCAGGCCCCAGAATGACTTTGGGAACTCCCCCTCCAAGGGGAAATACTGGCCCAAGGCCAGTGGTTCCCCCAGGATTTATTCCATTCTATGGTATGCCAACTTCGGAATTGGCAAGCCTGACGAATGCTGCGTCCACTTATTCAGAACCTTTCGTGAGTGCCACTTCGCCACTCCAAGGCTCTGGAGTAGGCATGGCGAATAGAAATAGGACCCAACTCTTAGGAGGAACGGCCCAAGTAGCCCATGGCCTTACAAATGCCTCGACAGCAGTCTTGAGGCAACAGATGGACGAAAGCAACCATGATATGGTGCAAATGTTGGCACAAACTTTGAGTACAGTGCTAAATCCTCTAATACAAAATACTACTCAGTCGAATCAGCAAGTTACAGCGCAAATGACGCGTTTGGCTGACTTCTTTGGAGTACCCCCACCTATTCGACAGCCCCAAAGGGCTCAAATAAGAGGAAATCAGGGGATATTTGTAGAGGAGGAAACCACCATTAATCAGGCCCAACAGCCTGTAGAACAACCTGTCGAAGAACCTAGGGTAATAGCCCCAGAGGTTAGGTTAGTTAACAGAAACCAAAATGCTGACGAAGTGGTTCAGCATGTCCAATACCAAAACATGGGGTTGGAAAACAATCTGGCAACCATGATCGAAAGAATCATGACTCAGAATGGAATGAACATGGGCTTTCGAAGGCCCAACTTTACATCTCCATTGTCAGAATATGTGTTACAAACTGACTTACCCCCTAGAACCAAAGTCCCCAAATTTACTAAGTTCTCTGGGGACACGACAGAATCCACTGTCGAACATGTGGCTAGGTATTTGATCGAAGCAGGAGACATTTCAAATAATGAAAACCTAAGAATCAAATACTTCCCAAGTTCCTTAACCAAGAACGCTTTTACTTGGTTTACGACTCTCCCCCCCAATTCGATCCACCATTGGACCCAATTGGAAAGATTGTTCCATGAACAATTCTATATGGGGCAAACCAAGATAAGCCTGAAAGAACTGGCGAGTGTTAAGAGACGTTTCACTGAACCTATAGACGAATATCTAAATAGGTTTAGGTTGCTTAAGGCGAGATGTTTTACACAAGTGCCAGAACATGAGCTGGTCGAAATGGCCGCAGGCGGTTTAGACTATTCCATTAGGAAGAAGCTAGATACCCAGTACCTAAGAGACATGGCCCAACTGGCCGATAGAGTTCGACAAGTCGAACGCCTTAAAGCTGAAAAAGCTAAGGCAACAAAAACTCACAAGAGAGAGAGAATAGCTTACGTTGAGATGGATGACGAAGAGCTAGAATCCTTCGACGATACTTTAGCTGTCGAGGAAGGAGAGGTCGATTTAGCAGAACTGAAACAAGGGCCTCCATACTCTTGTAAACAGTTAGTCCCCTCAAATGGGAAAAATCCCATTGGTCCAGACAAGACCAACGATAGGTTCCCAAAAAAGACTTACAGTTTTGACATCACAAAATGTGATGAAATATTCGACTTGCTAGTTAAAGATGGCCAAATGATAGTACCCCCTGGGGTAAAAGTGCCTCCTCTTGA